TTTTAATTGATCAATTTGTTGATGTTGTTGTTTTTGTGTGACAGACATCGCAGGATTCCTGATCCTTATCCCTCAATATCGTTCGTTTGAGTGCACTAGTTTCGGCCTCCATGGCCAGCCAAGGTCGGCTGCCAGTCAGCTGATAATCGAGTTGTCGTTACTCTGGGTATAAAGGGACTCTACCAGGGAGCGCTGATGTCAGCGCTAACCGGAGTTGGGGGTCCTTATTTATTCTCTTGGTGCATGGCATCGTGTCAGCCTATTCGCTCGCGACCAATGAAAAACCGGAACAGAAATGGCCATACTCTGTCTATAAAGGTACTCTACTGCCTACACCTTCTGTATTGGTAATTTTCGCCATGGTAATCGTTATAGGGTAAACAAACGCATGCTCGTTGCTCCGTAACCATAAACCATAATACTTGTATTGCCTGCCTACAGAATAATCTCTTTCTCTTCACAATTTTTCAATGTTTCCCGTGTGTAATTTTACTCTCTTAATTACTTCATCAATTTTAAGGCCAAGCTGAAGGAGTTGGGCTCAGCAATGGTGAGATCTTTGTTTTATTTTCTCATCAATTCTGATTTTCCTCTGAAAAACTTTAAGTGGTTAAGTACATTCCATTTGCTCTCCGCTCGTGTATCAATGACATATTTCAGAGGAGCACCTTTTAAATTTTCTTTCTCACTTGTCTTTGGTGTTGCGGTTTCATGACACTATGCGTAGAACCTTGATGATTCGAGGGTCCATGGTATGGTACACTTTTACAAATATGGTCGTGAATGCCTAATTCTAGGAGAAATTAAACATCTTCTAACTCTATTAGGTGATTCGTCAAGCTCAAGTGATGTGGTCCAACTGGCATGCGATATATTGCATTGATTAGGTCAAAAATCTCAGCAGATTTAGAATTTTTAGCAATAAGAAGGACAATAGCCCCTGCGTCTAAGCTTAATCACTCTGAACCCAAATATCTGCAAAATTCTGATTCAGAGAAATGAAAGCCGAATTGAAAACAACTCTTAAAACTGGTAAAATTGGCAGCAATGGACCGTGAAGCCTGTTAAAATTTATAGGAAGACATTTTTATGGCCAGAAATAAAAATTACGTAGAGAAATACATATCGACGGTGCAAGTCAGCAATCACATAACTCGTTGGCGGTGTCTGAAAATCTCCGCAACTGTGTTATTTTTTTAAAGGAGAACAAATGGACATGATTCCTTGAAGTTTTTGCAGAATTTTCCTCGCTCATAGAAGAAAAGTCACGGAAGTTTTAAAGAATTACCGTTGAGTAGTTTTCCGCTTAAAAAATAAAGTATGACAGGAAGTCTGCGACGTCGCAAAACGAGTTATGTGATTGCCGACTTTCACCGTCGATATAGTACTCATCCATGGAGGGTGACTTACATCAAAAAACATTCACTAGAGCTACCTTAAAGTAAAAAGGTCGCTGAACACGACAACCCGGCCAATTTTCACGTTGTGTGAATCCAGGTACAGCTATACTTTTTTGATATGATGTATATGTTACGGTCAATGTGAGGGAATGGGGGAGTGTATGTCATTGGCCGGCCAATGTTGACCGTGGCCGGGCATTTCGGCCGAAGATGTCATTGGCCAGCCAACGACGTCAATGGTCAGCGATTTTGGGAAATGTTTTCTTAACAATAAAACCGTCACATATTGACCAGCTGCTGATGTCATTGGCCGGCCAATGTACTGTTTGGCCGAGGGGTGACGGCCAATGTTGGATCTGTTATCATTTATCAATTGAACTTGAGAGAGTTGAGCAACCAAGCGGCAACCGCATCACCGTGTATCCAGCAATGCCGGCTGATGATATGTCTTTAAAATTAAAACTCAACGTTGCTTCTTGAAATAATTATTACAGCTGTGGGATAAAAAAAAAACAAAAACGAAAAAAAAATGCGCCAATTTTCAAAGTCAAAAGAAATGTAAAATAAATTAAAAAAAACCTTCTAAAAAATAAATCAAACAGCTGTAGTAATTACACATTCACTCATTTGTTTCCTCTCATGTGGTATGTTTTCAGTTTTACGGTGTTTTATAATGTGAACGAACAATGGCCGTCAGTCATTGGCCACTGTCATCATCGGCCGGCCATTGTTCACCTCGCGGTGAAAATGTTAACAGTGACCGGGCTTTTTGGCCGATGACATGATTGGCCGGCCAATCATGTCAATGGCCCTCGATTTCGGCCGATGCTATCATTGGCCGCTCAGTGACAGCATCGGCCGGCCCCCCAACATTGACCGTAACATATATGTGGTTAAGAGCTGTTACATACGTCAATGAAATAGTTGTCCTCCATTTTCTTGAACCTGAGGCGTGGCAATTTATTACATTTTGAGCATTTTTGGCTCTTGGGAACGATTTTTCTCAAAAATTTTGCAATGTTGAAAAAAGTTTCACTGAACATTACTAATTCATTTTTTGCGTTCTTTTCAAAAACGTATAGGTACGGTTCTTAGTTTAAATTGGGTTCTGTGTGTGTGAAATTGATAAAACCCTAAAAATGGCAATAATGGACCGTAAGGCCCCTTAAAATTTAATGGAAGCCTTCTAAAGACCAGAGACGGAAAGAACGCAAAAAGTACATTGGAAACATCTGCTGGAAGAGTGATAACAGTCGAAAAAGTCAACGAAAATAGCTAAAAACAAAAAAAAATTTGGTACAAAATCTCGGCCCAATCCAAAAAATGTCACTAATTACCATTAAAGAAAGAAAAAAAAGAAAAAAAAAAAAAAAAAAAAAAAAAAAAAAAAAAAAAAAAAAAAAAAAAAAAAAAAAAAAAAAAAATGATGGCAGTACCTTTTGGATTCATCATTTAAAAGACAATGATTTCAAAACGGCCCAATTTTCTCTTTCATGCCCACGCAATGTATTATACACCCTCAAGTTTTTCACACTACAAAATTAAATACCTATAAGGTATGATGACCTGAACACGTTTTGATCCATCCCTTTAAAGGAGTATGATATCAAATCGGCCCAACTTCTCTGAAGTATGCCCATTGTTGATCAATAACTTTTTCGAGACCTTCCGACTCATCACTGAGGAGACATTGATCATTACTTGACCCTTAGTATATGTCCTCATAAGGACATATAGGGGGTGTTTCATAAGGACTTCTTTGACATCTGGGTAAAGACCCAGATGTCAAAGAAGTCCTTATGAAAACTGTAATGAATTTTTTTTCTTTAAAGAGATTAAAAACGAAAAACCGTCATAAAATTGAAAAAAAATTCGAAGAAAAAAAAAGGAATGGGCCGGTCGGCCGTATGTACATACTGGTGGTAGATAACTAGGGGGCTACGCCCCCTGGCCGCTACGTGGCCCAACCCCCCGAAGGCGCTCCGCGCCATCAATGGGCCGCTTCGCGGCCCTATTTTTACCCTCCTATCAGTTTTAGTTTTATTTTCCCCCTAAAAAATTACGATATGAGATATACTTTAATTTTGAACTTCACTTAAAATTACTTTAAAATTAAAAGGACGCGTTTTGGAATGACTGCTTGAAGAAATATTGCAGTAAAACAATGAACAATGATAGTCAGGTAATAATTAAAAATGCTTGAGTCGGGGATCGAACCCACACCGAGTTAAAAGTGGACGCCTCCGACGTCTTAAACGACTCGGCCACCACTCGACGTTAGGTCGCTTTCGCAAATCTTGTGTAGATAAGTGTAGAGCTGATGCACAGCCTACACAGCTACTGCGCAACCTCCTCGACCACTGCGCATCCTCCCGCGCATAGCGGTAGCAGTACCGGAGCATGCTGTAAACTCACTCACTTTTATAACGTGATTTTAAAAAAAACCTGGGTCCTTTTTCCAAAATCTGATTACAGCGGGCTCATCTAGGGCCTTTTACCTGTCGATTAACGAAAAAATCATGGAAATCGGCCCGGTAGAACGCTCAAACGAACTATGACAAAAAGTATAAATTTACATTGTTTAAATGGGAGAATTCGCAACTTTACCACGTAATATAAAAAAACCTGGGCCATATTTTGAAAATCTGAAAAGAGTTGGCTTATCTAGAGACAATTGCCCGTCGATAGCCGCAAAAATCATGAAAATCGGCCCGGTAGAACGCTGGAACTAAGCGTTACCAGTTTCGCAAAATTAGGAGGTCTTGGAGCTTATAGTATAGAGATAGGGTGATCATTCTCTCTTGCATATACATGAACAAGTATCATCGTCAAAAGGAGGATCAGTCCTTCTTGAAATCATCATACAATCATTTACTGAAAGATATTCACACATGAGTGAACAACTTAACAACTTTCAAGCAATGCCATATTCCCTGTTAGTTTCTGACAGAACGCCTCACAACTTACTGAGCCTGGCGTATTATCGCGAATATTATGTGCCTCTTACTTAAAATGCCTCTCCCTTAACAACTTCATGGACGTTGGCAAGACCGGGTCGGTCACCCATGCCAAAATGTTGGGACGTACCTATGTATCTATTTTTTTCTCCTTTTTTTTATTGTACATGGCGGCCGGCCCGTTCCTTTTTTTTTCTTTTTTCTTCGAATGTTTTTCAATTTTATGACGGTTTTTTGTTTTTTATCTTTTTAAAGAAAAAAAATTCATTACAGTTTTCATAAGGACTTCTTTGACATCTAGGTAAACGTAGACATATTCTAAGGGTCAAGTAATGATCGCAATGAGTCGGAAGGTCTCGAAAAAGTTATTGATCAACGATGGGCATATTACAGAGAAGTTGGGCCGATTTGATATCTTACTCCTTTAAAGCGATGGATCAAAACGTGTTCAGGTCATCATACCTTATAGGTATTTAATTTTGTAGTGTGAAAAACTTTGGGGTGTATAGTACATTGCGTGGGCATGAAAGAGAAAATTGGGCCGTTTTGATATCATTGCCTTTTAAATGATGAATCCAAACGGTACTGCCATCATATTTTTTGGGTGCCTGTTTTTTTTTTTTTTNTTTTTTTTTTTTTTTTTTTTTTTTTTTTTTTTTTTTTTTTTTTTTAATGGTAATTAGTGACATTTTTTGGATTGGGCCGAAATTTGGTACAAAAAGTTTTTTGTTTTTTTTTTTACAAGGATATCACGTATTTTTGGTATGGCTTCTACGAAGTATGAGGTAAAGAGAGTTCCCATTCTAAAGAGGTTGTTCCATCTGCCATATGAGTTGGGCCCAGATTGGAAATTGTTCATTTTTTCAGATATCAAAAGGTATGGTCTAAGGTGTCCGAAAATGGCCAACTTTTTGATCTCCCCCCCCCCCCNCCCCCCCCCCCCCCCCCCGGAGAGGGAGGAGGGGGGTCCAATGAAAATCACTTTTTTGGGCATAACTCAAGAACGGTTAAAGATAATGCACCAAACTTTTTTTAAATGAAAAAACACGGTAAAAGCTTTCGTTTGATGTATTAATAGTTAGTATTTAATCAATTTTTGAATAAGTTATGACGAATCAAAAATTTTGAAAAAGTAAAAAAATCGGTTTCTTGGATTTTAAAGGTACGGCGATCGTTCTCAGAAGCACAAAAAA